ATCCAGCCGGTTAGATAGCTCTTCCGGTGTTCGACCTATCACTATGATATCATCCAGATATGCAGCGGCTCCAGAAACGTCCGCTAGCATGGTATCCATCAACTGTTGGAAAATGGCTAGCGCAGTTTTTACACCACAAGGCAAGCGGTTATATTGGAATAGTCCATGATGAGTGTTGATCGTCAACAGCTCCCTCGAGACTTCGTCAGCATCCACTTGAATGTAGGCATCGGAGAGCTCAACCGTAGCAAAACAGGTACCAACATTCAGTTTTGCAAACATCTTCCGGTACGTGTAATGGGTACTGGTGGTCGTCCAACGCTGCGTTAAGTCCAGGTGTGAAGTCAGGATGGATGCGGATCTTGCTATTTGCCTTCTTCACTGCGACAATAGATGTGGCCCATGATGAGTAGTTGACGGCTGTGATGATTCCGACACGTTCCAGTCGATCGAGTTCTTGATCAACGCTTGACAGGGCTGCATATGGTACCGGTTTTTTAGACTTGAACACTGGTTGAGCACCTGGTCGCAAACTCAGCGTTGCCATGAATTTCGTGCAATGACCCAAGCCATCCTGAAATACAGGCAAATTTTCTCTGCAACCCGCGTGTTATGTCTTCGAAGGATTTTGCTGATGGATCTGGACTTGCTCAAACTCGGTTGCAGATCTGATTCAAAAGAACATCGAAGGGTTGCAACTTCTCAATCCAGTCGAGACCAAGAAGATTCAAATTCGACAGGTCTGAAATGTATCGCGTTCTCGACTTTTCTACACCTTTGAAAGCAATCTTGCAAGTAAGTTTGCCCACTAAGTTTTACACACCGCCGGATGCATTATTCGCAACTTTCTGCCTCTTTATATGATTCCATGTGCTCCTGGAGATAATCGTGATGTTCGAGGGCATGTCAACTTACAGTTTCGTTGGGATCCCGTTGATCAACACTCTGGTAACTCGTCGTCTCAGTTTACACTCACTTTTGAATGCGACAACTATGGACAGAGACCGCCATTCTTCCTAGAATTCCCCTTTCGATAAGACCTTCCCGTTTTTCGGCCGGACCTGACTTCAGTATTCTTCCTTATGCCCACGCTTATGGCACGTTTGACAAATGTGACACGCGAAATGCCACTCGCCGCATGACAAGAATGCTGTAGGTAGTTTGTTAGTAGACCTCTTGAAGGGTTTGCTTGGGTTGGCAGTCCTGGCATTTTTCACGAAGTGCACGGTATCTGGTGGTGCGAGACCATTTCGTTCGACCAGAGCAGTGTCGTATTCTAGAGTGAGCAACCGTTTGCATTTGCTTACGATTATCTTCGGTGTCAGCTCAGGATCCTGATCCAGCTTATCCAAAAGCCGCATGCGGATCTCAGCATCACTGGGGGATTGTGGAGCACTGACGAAAATGAGACGCTTAGACTGATCGTCCGTTAAAGAGCGTAGTTTGAAACACTCACACTCACAGTTAATCATGTCTGCTAGGGCCCCAAACTCGTCCGATTCCTGTTTGACAATTTTCATGCCTTGATAGCGAATACTAAACAAGGCTACTGACTCACCAAAAATTCCCTTCAGCTGCGACACTACTTCGTCAAGCGTCAAATACTTCGGCTTTTTGGACAGAATGTGGTCTATGGACCTTGAATATTCACTTATTCCGATCTTGCGTAGTAGCAATCGCACCTTTCAGGAGTCGTCCTGACGAATGAAGTCCGTCCGGAACATGTCTTCCCAACGTTTGAACCACGCTTCGAATGTGCATCCAGAATCCGCGTCATAATTGAATTCAGTGATTGCATTCGTGAGATCAACAGAACTCGCCTGCGTGTCCCTCGTCGCTGCTCCTGTTGTTTGCAAACTCAAGCGTCGTGTCAGATTTTCGACCATTTTCATTTGTGCCTCCATTTGAGATTGCTGTTAGAAAAGCAGCTTTTGCAATTGTTCAGCAGAAATATCCATCACGTTTCCAATATTCTCCGTCCCCATTTGTTCTAATCTTCTGCCTAGACGCGATTCCGAAATTGGCACTTTACTGCTCCACAAAACTTCTAGTCCAACCGAAGGAAAAAGCAGAACGCCACTGACCTTGACAAAATAACGCGCTAACCGCCGTCATAAAAAACCACTGTATAACTACGGCGTACCTTGGCTGTATTTGTAGGTATCTCACTGACCTTCGACTTCTAGAATTGGAAGGTCAGCTTCCAAGGTTTGTGGCCCCCCATAGCTGTGGCCGAGGTGTCAGGTGGTTTGTATTCCTGTGCAGAAACTAGAACATTCCAGAACGTTCGAAATCGACGCGATAATTGTTGGTAATCGATTAGTCGCTAAAATAGTGGATTTTCTAGGCAATTCTTACTCTCCTAGACGGAAGTGTAAAGTGCTTCTTCAGCATTGACACTCTCCTGTTCCCTGGTTCACTGTCAGAAGTACACAGCTTGGACAAGAGACAGCTTTGTCTACCTGGGCAGCCGGGTGCCTGTTGGTGGCACTATGGAAAAGAAAATTTCCCTCCGTATCTCCAGAATTCGGTCAGTGTTCTTCAATCTGAAGTACTTGTGACATCGTCGGGATGTCTGCCTCATGATAAATGGTCGCGCTCACGGTGCCACCGTTCGGCCGGTGTTGCTATATAGAAGCTAATCATGGCCAGTTCGCGTGGATGATATGCGCCGGCTCTCGATCTTCGACCATGGGTCCTTGAGAAGGATTGCACGTGTGTGGTAGCAGCAAAGTATCTGCAACGGTGAAGTCCGATATCGTGTTTTAGGGGATGTGAGTATTCCCTTCAACAAGCTGGTTTTGCTGCGTCAGTTAAGATGGCTAGGTCACGTCCTGTGTATCTCAGCTGAGTGCTTGCCTCATTGCGCCTTTGTCGCTCATTCAGAACCTGGTTGGACGAAACTGCGTGGCGGTCAGCCGTCCACTTGGCGACATCATATGAAATTGTTAACTTCATGTGTTGCTGTCGTTAGATCGACACGTTTACCTGGTTGGGGATGAAACGACGAGGAGGGCTAATAAATAAATAAACACGTCGTCAGCTGTACACCTTGATGGCGCTTCGCTGTCGCGCGACCACTACTAGTTGCGCGTGTGCAGAGTATATCGCGAGGACGTCTGCCCCTACGCGCATCCGAACAGGATATGATTGCTAGCCAGGAGTGCAGACCACTCGGCCACCGGCCAACAAGGAGTGCCGATAGCTAAGAACAATTTAGGATATAGCCCACAGTCGTTACCAGTGGAAGGTCTGTGTATATAAATGTTTAGTTTCATCTGCCTGGTGCTTAACACTTGAAAACGACAAAAAGCAAGTTCCGTTCTTCTTGCGGCGCAGTAGCTGAAATGTGTTGCCCACCTTCAGCTATTGTGCCATGTCGTTGATATTGTGATTAAACCTGTGATTCCCATGGTTAATGTATGCTTCCATGCCTATTCGTTAAACGGTTGATACTACTGTTACTACTTGAACTGTTCTCAGCCTCAATGTGGGTCGAATTTTCGACTTATCCGGGTGGCGTCCCTCAGACTAGCCCAGTACCGATTTGTACAAAGCGTCCGCCACAGGGCAGCGATTCGAATTTCCGTTGGTATAAGCGACTTTGCAGTACCCATGGCATCGAAAGGTCGGTACGACGTACCGACTGTTTATAATGCCCTTCTGTCATCCGCGAGTTTATGTGTGCTATGTTGCCAAATGGCTCATACAGGGCAAGTTGTTTTTTTGCGCAATGGTTTGATGCGAAATCCAGAGCTCGGATCATTTGTGGGATCAGGATCATGCAGCGATCGTTCTCCTGGAATGAATCCCGATATGTAGACGAATGTATGCGATGTACTCCAAACACGAAGTGCCTTCAGACTGGCACTTATCAGCCATTCTTTGTGCATTTTGATATGATTATAGGACAGCTTGTAAAGATTATCTTGGCATCAGTCTCATCACAGTTAGTCCCCCGCGCCATACTGCGTGAAAAGCGAATCAGTGGAAGCCCGGATTGTTTCCATGTTGACAGAGAGTGCGTTGGCCACCTTTTTACGCTCTGCTGATTACTTTAATGTGAACGGGCTATCATGATAGACCTCCTTGGTTTCGTTCATCACACTTGTTTTACCGAACACCCATTGGAAGTAGTCTTTCACTTTATATACCTAGTTAGTTCTGTATCATCTCTTGTGGTCTAGCCACCGACGAGTTTACTGTACTTATTGCTTAGACGTAAGAGACATTTTGAAGCCTCAGTAACTTGTCGAAACACAAGCATAAATAGTGAAGGGTTTTTCCAACTGGTACCTCCGTTTCTGGCTCGATATCTGCTCTCCATACTCCTCTGCTCCGATGTGTTTCGTCCGCCAATACTGCACCTGGTTTGCAAGTTGCAGCCTCGTGCTTCCCCAACCTGCATGCAATCGCTGTTAACTTGGTTGAAGCGAGGCTTAGACTGAAGGACGCTGCATACAACGCACTTCGATTAACTGTTTACGGTTGATTGGATGAAGTGGACATTTTTCCTACTGAAACATGAATTTCCTATTTGAATTGGTTTTCTTTCTGTTTGTGAAGGTTTGTGTGGTGTGGTAGCGGCCTTTTCTGACCAATTTTTCCAATTTTCCCCATATTTTCCCATTTGGTGAGGGCATTTTCTCTGGCTCTCTACTCAGCGCTCTACTCTCAATTTGGCCCCATGTGGGTTGAGAGGACTGAACCACCCGGGTTCGCGGTGATTCTCATTGCATCCGAGGCGATGTGGCCATCATTGTGATGCTGCCTCCGGTAAGACCAACTCAACACATGCAGCTCTAGGAAATTCTCTTATGAGTATTCATTGTTTCCTATTCCTCACCTTGATATACATCAACTTTTTAACTTTACTCCATTTCATATGCTACTAACTTGTGTTAGTATTTTCTCCTTTTTCCTGATGTTGTGTATCCGTGCACGTAACATGATGTTGCAAGTATGTACAGCTGCGTGTTTCTGCTCTACTTTCTCAATAGCCTGTTGCCTCACGGATCGAGCAAGACCGAAATCGCGTGGCTTATCAGTTCGAAGACACTCCAAAAATGTCGTCCTATTTGGTCGCCTTTGCAGTGGGGGAATTCGAACACGTTGAGGTACTTCTAAGCGTCGTTTTGTACCGTTGATTCACTTTATCATATCAATTTAATTCTTGGGTAGCCATCTATATCGGTATGTTCGCCATATGAATGTTGACTTCATTGCTACATTCTATTCGTGTTATGTGTCGCACACTCCTACCTGGAAACCGTGCCCCAGCTGCCATAGTGTTGGCATACATTTGTCCATTGCTCTGTTGCACCGGACAACCTATTAGAGTTTCCCTGTCACCAATCCTGAAACGAAACAAGCCCAAAAACCTTTACATTTTGGTCTAACAGTACCTACATAATTTACTACTTGGACGTCAGGACAGTGATGGGAAAAACGTACTCTAAAACAGCATGTAACTGAATCATTTCTGGATAGTACTCTGTTGACTTTGTCATTCATCTCTGGATAGCGGTTTGATGAGTACTTCTTCCCGTGCATGCAATATGTGCTTAATGTATCCGCCAACCAGCTCTGGTCCCCGTCATTCCCCAGCATATTTCTCCCCCGCATGTTTTCTTCGCTCCCTTTCGATTGTCCCCTCGGTTACATGGTGGGGGTAAAAAGGTACGCACGAAAGAGTAGTAGTACAAGTCCATTTCGCATATATATATATATATATATATATATATATATATATATATTTATCAGAGCAGCCATGTTGGGCATGTTGACCACCGACATCTGGGCCGACCTTTGATTCCCCTCAACGAGCGCATACATAATCGCCATTCCTGACAACTGGATAGGACGTGTCGAAGGCTTGGTTGTCTTAACACCCAGAATAGACTGTTTGCATGGATGTAGGGATAGACGAGAACGGTACATTTTTCCGTCATATCTACCCTGATAACCACAGCTAATCCCTGGCTCGTGTGCACTACACATATCGGTTCCAATTTGTATTTCTTAGCTCGATTGCTCCTCACATATGTATAGTTCGGATCAATCGAACAACATCCGTCCACGTTTCATGTTCCTTTTTCAGTCACACTTATTTTGAACGCCGGGGCGTAACACGCATGCAACCGAGTCGACTAACTAACTTACATGCATGAAGTAGGCTTGATTATTATCCTTACTTCATCTGTTAGAGAAGATAACAGTTTAACGACGAAGGTAGCTCTCGCTGTGTGGACACCTGAGCGCGTCCTCTACGCCAGCAAGCAGTCGATTTAGCGTTATCTTTATTCATATCACGATTTTTTTGTTCCCTCATTCAATGCTGTTTTACTGCTTCTTCGGTATGTATAGGAACAAATGGACTAGAGTTTACATGGTATCGTTTGGGAAGAGTCCCGGTTCGACTTCTCATACTTTCTTCAGCGCTGGTCTCCGCGCATACGTCTATTGATGGATCACTCAACTGGCCTCTTTCCACATTTCATTTTGCTGCCACAACTAATATCGTTAGTTCTTCTCGTTTTTAGCCCCCTACCAGCGCTTCAAAGTTGCCATGACTAATAATAATAATAATAATAATAATAATAATATTTTTCGTAAACGCGAGACACTGTCCAGCGATCCTGATCCGACTATAACGTATAGGTTTCATACAGAACTGTTTGTGTACATTGGTTGTTCTGTGATAGCGAGAAATTTCGATTCCATTAGCCTCTGAAATTGCATCATGCGTTGTTTATACTCTTTTCATCAACGTTTTGCAACCTACTGCGGTTCTGGAAGGCGTAACGCGGCCACAGTGACAGGCAAATCCGAAACCGGATGCTGCCAACCATATATATATATATATATATATATATATATATATATATATATATATATATATATATATATATATATATATATATATATATATATATATATATATATATATATATATATATATATATATATATATATATATATATATATATATATATATATATATATATATATATATATATATATATATATATATATAGAAAGAGAGAGAGAGGCGGGAGAACCTATGATGCGCTGAGGCTGGTGGTGGCTAGATCCTGACAGATGGTCTACCCATTGCTGCTACTGTTGTGCCATTTGCTCATGTCCTGGGCGCCTTCTCGTGGCGACCGCTGGGTGGGAGTTGGGTTTCGCCCTTCTCCCAGCTAAGATCCAGGACACCAATCCGCATGAGTCAGTGAACTGACCATGTGCTAGAGCCGCTGCTGCCTTTCGGGTGTTCATTTAGTCGTAGGCTTTGGCTGAGGACCCGAGTCGTTCTCCTGTCAGTTGTGGTCACCCTGCCAGTATCCTAGTCCATCCTCTTCGGAGGTTAGGAAGTGGTCGATGGCCCTCTTCCCGTAAAACCTAGCCATGAGAGACAACAGGTCTACAGGTGATAACCTCACAGTTATCAGTCTGCTGTATGAGCTACAGCACCTACTTTGGAGTGGATATATTGTGCATACAGCCTCATTCTGAACGGAACCTGATTTTCTCTTGCCTCCTGCTCGCTTGCTGTTCCACAGTAAATCGACTAACGAGGATTAGGCCATTCGCTTTGTCGCTTTTTACTTCGGGCTTTTACCACTGCGGTTAGCACAGCCAGCGTGACTGTCCCTCCTTATACTTTGTCACTACGATCGATTCACTCTAGTTAACTCGTAACTTATACCCATGGAAATTCAGGAATTCAAGTTTGCGATGAGTACTCTTTTCGACAAATCTCTTCATTCATTTACGATTATAAAATAGAATGTCAGAGCACAAAGTACTGATTAAACTAAAGAGGGGTAATAGTGGAATCATGACTGTCAGAAACTCTTCTTGATCGATAAAGTAGGCTAACTACACATGTGACAGAGCACATGTTGGTTGATCGGTGGAATTTCTAGCGCATCATTCGATTGTTGTCAGCACAGGAAGTGATAAGAGTTGGAAAGCTACTTAGGGCCAAGGTAGGAAAAGCCCTTGTAGCAAATCTTTCTGTTTGCATAATTCCGGTTGAATTATTCTAATCGCGGTCGTTTCGATCTTCCGTAACATTTGCTACCTAAAGCCTTTAGGGTACCGTTGCGGTACTACATAAACTGCTTTGAAGGCATCAGCGTTCCAAATTTAATGTCCGCTTTCAATCAGATGTTCCAGGATGAAATAGGTGCTGCGACTGACGATTCCTTTTCGAAAAGCCGCTAGACAGTGATCCGCTATTCGTTTAGACATATGCCTGATTGTGTGTCCCACGCACCTCGCACCACAGGCGCAGGTAAACTGATAGGATGTAGAATTATGCTTGGACCGGAAGTCTGTCTGTGACGCGCTGGGCCATAAAGGGAGCGATTTCTGCAAGGACGTGTGAACAGGCTGCCGGGAAGTTCCGTGCCACTGCACTGGGAATTTTTCTGCTCGGCAGACCAAAGGGAATATCGCCTTTGAAGGGAACTGATAGGAACACATCCTTCTTAGGGACAGCTGTAATCACTTCACAGCTATCATGGATCGCTGCATGCTTCTTGCTGAATTGTGTTGGGTAAATGTTTTCTTGCAGCGTTTTGAGAATACAGCTCTTTTCGGCCTCAAGCACTGCACCGCCTGAAGATGGAGAGTTTCAAGAGCGGCAGAAGGACAAATCTAACTGTTCTCAAATGTGCTCCACCCAATGGACCGGACTGCGTTCCTTGTTGCGGATTAAGACGCCCGTGCTGTCTCTGATTGTTTCACTGTCACGGGTTTCTGAAACCAATGTTGCAGTTTAATTGGGAGAGTGTGGTGTATGTTCACCGTTCCCTTTAATTACTAAGTTTTTTGGATCCACCTGGCACGCACTGCGTTTCATTTTGTATCTGACAGTTCGTCTGGTTGCATTGTGCTCCTCGGCGTCAAGGATTTTTTTCTGGATTCCAACAGACTTACCCACCTCTCGCGTATCCAGTGATTGGGTCGGTGATGACTGATAGTGCCGCAAACAGAGACTCCAGCGTCTTGCATGGCGACCACATTCTATTCAGCTGAAGGTCCGTATTCTTAGAGCGAGAAGATGAAAGTTCGGCTCGCATTTCATTCTGCTAGACTTGTCGGATCGAGGGCTCTTGGTTCACGTCCCTGTGAAGTTCATGGAAAAGCGACAGCGCACCAAAGAATGATCAGAGTCGATCCGCGTGTACCAGGACGAGCGACGATCCTAGATGGAACCACGCCACCTGAAACTTATGGCAATGTGGTCTGTTTAAATTCACCACTAGCCCGCTGTAGGGGACGCCAAGTGGCATTTCGGTGCCCATTGGGCTTACGAGCACAAAAAACCGCTGTAAACGCACAGTTGCGAGTAGTACTTTTCGACAACTGTCGTCAGGCTTTTACACTCACAAGATGATAACCTGGGACACAGTAAACTGGTAAGCAAGGCATAGATTATTGTAACCACAACGAGGCAGAAATTCAATTGTCAAACCATAAGTTGGTCGATCCTTTCAGATAGCAAATATCACGGCAAACATAAGCATTGGTATACAAATCAGATAGCTGTCAGCGTATGAGATGAAAACTGTCTGGAATCACCTAAAGTCCATGGCAGGGAGTGGGCTTACAAAAATGCCCTGTGTTTCCATACTTCAGGTTGTGTTTGCCCTTTCGATGAATTCGGCCGTCCGTAAGACTCCTTTCTTCTGGGGATACCGTTCTAGGGTTACGTAAATACTTCGAATGCATCATCAGTTCTAATTTGCTGTCCACTTTCGACCAGGTGTTCTAGGACTGAACTTTTGGTGTCTTTCTCCAATCATGTTGAGCAGTGTTCCTCTATCCGTTTAGGCAGACGCCTCCTCGTGTGTCCGGCGTGTCTCACACTACTGATGCAAGTAAATTGCAGTTGAATGTATATAGTATGGGGTCGGCTTTGCACCGTCCAATCGTCTAAATAATCGGCTGGTCGGCGAGCCCACTGGCATCAGCGCGCGACTGATGCTTGTTCGCCTACGACTCGTTATCAATTCTACACTCAGTTATCCTCCGTCATAAGGTCTGTGTCGAGGAGCGACGGAGTCTTTCAGCTCGGTGATTTCAACGCGCGCGTTAGGCGTAA